TGATGATCTTGGAGATCTCTTCCAAACCTAAAGGATTCTAAGATTCCATGTCCCACCCCCTCTTCTCCTGCAGGGGGAAGACGGTTTTGGGTTACACGGAGGCGGAGCTGCGGGCTCGGGGCTCGGGTTACCAGTTCATCCACGCTGCTGACATGCTCCACTGCGCTGAGAACCACGTCAGGAGTAAGAGAACCCCTCCCCTTGCTCCTTGATGACCACCTCAGAGGTTGCCCAGTGGGCCAGGACCTCTGGGAGCTCCTTTGGCCACCGTGCCCAGCCCCGTTGGGTCTTTTTCACCCTCCCTGATGCCACAGCGCTCCCATCCCTTTCGGGGTGGGGTGTGGAGGAGAGGGAGGGAGGGGGTTTGAGGTGGGAGGGTGTCCCCTGCTCTGGTGGCACAGCCTTCCTCCCAACAGTGATGAAGACAGGGGAGAGTGGCCTGACTGTCTTCAGGCTGCTGACGAAGGAGAACCGTTGGAAGTGGGTGCAGGCCAACGCCAGGCTGGTCTACAAGCATGGCAGCCCTGAGTACATCATTGTCACCCAGAGACCCCTCCTGTAAGTGACCCCTTGGGGACATCCCAAGCTTGGCCAAGGCCAGGTTGGCTTCCCACACCCGTGGAAAAAAACCCTGAGCAGGGCAGGAGGTTCAATTCCTCACTCTAAGTGAGGTTGGGTGGAGCTCTGAGCGACCTGCTCCCTGTAGAAGGGTTGGACTTGGATGGTTTTGAAAGGTCCCTTCCCACCCAAACCATTCTAGGGTTGGTTCTTGGGCCTTCTAATGGAGCAGCCAGAGGATTCTGTGCTGAGATGTTGTTCAGCCACAACCCCCTCTAGGAGGCCACCCCAATGACCTCCCTGACCTACAGGGTCCTACCTAGATGAGGAAGGCCAAGGTGTGACTTCAGCTTGGCAAAGTTCTGTCACCTTTGGTGTTTTAAGGGTCTCCTTGGTCATGCTGAAGTCGTGTGGGTTTGGGAGGGGGTGTAGATAGAAAAACCATGTGTGTGTTTGTACAGAGATGTCTCTGTGTGGGTGGCTGTGCTCAGGAGATGGGTGTTGGTCCCAGCAGAGGGGCTTTGGCTTGCAGGGATCACAGTCATCCCCTGCAGAAAGCCCTTGGTGGGGGGTGTGTCTGTCCACGGGCGAGCCTCAGCCTCCTCTTCCTCCCCTGCAGGGATGAAGAAGGAGGAGAACACCTCCAGAAACGTTCCATGCATCTTCCCTTCACCTTTGCCACGGGAGAGGCCCTCTTGTACCAGAGCACTTCCCCTCTCCAGGGCTTCCCTGCCCCTTTCCAGAGCAAAGGGAAAACCAACAGGTCCAAGAAGACCTCCTGCTGCCCTAGAAGGAGCTCCCAGAAGAATGTTCTTCACCCCAGCTCTCTCCTGGGCACCCTCTACAACCCCCACCCACCTCCCACCCCCAACCCCTCCTCCTCCTCCTCCAGCAGCTCCCTGGGCCATTCTGAGGACTCATCCTCCTTGGATGCAGGAAGAGGAGCCTGGAGTGTGGTTGCCCCTCAGATTTCATCAAGGAGGGATGGTGTGGAAGAAGAGCTGGTGGATTTCCAGCAGGAGGACCCTCTCTTGGCCACCTTGGACTCGCTCTCCATTCAGAGTGATGAGAGCTGCTCCAACAACGAGCTCTTCAGTGCCCTGGAGGGCTTGGGGTTGAATGCTGAGGACCTGGAGCTCCTGCTGCTGGATGAGAGAATGGTCATGGTCAACATGGACCCTGAGCAAGCCCTGAGCAGCTGCCTCAGCAATGAGATTCTCTCCTACGTCCACGCCACCCTGGTGAGCAAGCAGGAGGAAGGACAGCAGGTCTGTCCCCTGCCAGGCCCTTCCTCCAGCCCACGTGGGGACACGACCACCTACCAACCCTCCGTGGAGGTGAGGAGCTCACAGGACCTGCCCCAGGATGTCCTGCACCCCAACCAGCCCCCCAAACTGCTGTGGGAACAGCCTCTCCCTGCCCAGGAGGAAGAGGTGGCCCGTGGCTCAACGTGGAGGCCAGCTGAGGAGGAAGATCTGCTCTGCTTCCTGGGGGACACCCCGTGGGACAAGACACCCAGGGCTGGGCAGCTGGAGGGTGACCTCCCTTCCACGAATGGCCAGACCACCTCCTCCTCCTTGCCCACCCAGCCTCGAGGGGACCACGTGGGGCCACCCCAACGACCCAAACTTCCTCCCCTGCTGCCCAAAGGGTGGTGCAGCCACAGCCCTGGCTCTGCCCCACGTCTCCTCCCCAGCCCATGGCAGGACTACGTTGCCTTGGGGTCCCCACCTCAGCCTGGGGTCCATGGCATGAGCCAAGACTGGATGTCCCAGCACCAGGGCTGCTTGGCTGCAAGGGTGCCCCTTACCCTCCATGGGTTCTGCAGCATGGAAACCACCAGTGGTGGCTCCTCCCAAGAGGAGGTGGCTCCATATTCCACTTCCTTCCCTGCCTCCTCCTACCAGCTTGTCCCCCAGAAGCAGCTGAGCCCCGTTCCCTCCGTGGCTCAGCACCTTTTTCCAAGCTTCAGGAGCATCAGCAGCCCTCTGGAGACTCCTCTGAGCTCCTACAGCTCCACCCTGAGCCACCAGAGCAGGCAGCAGGTGAGGGCCCTTCCCTTGCTCTTCTCCTCCAGCCTGTTTTTTTGGGATGATGTTTCCTGGAGGTCTCAGCCCAGGGAGGTCACAGGCTGGTGGTGGGTGGATGGGAATCACCTCACTTTAGCTGGTAGAAGACCAGAAGGGGAAGATCTCAGGAGCTTCTCTTTGAGTTGAAGAGCAGAAGATCAGTTTATGGGTTCTTCCCTGTAGAAGGTGGTCTGGTTTCCATGGGGGTTGGTGGTTTCCATACAAGGAGTTAACCCCAACCATGAACACCTTCTATCCTGGGAGGTCTTCTCTTGGTGGGAGCCTTGCCTGTGCCACCAGGACCTCCTGTCCCCCCTCCACCTTCTGCCCAACACCTCAACACTCTTTTTCTCTCTCTTCTCCTAGCCCCAGGGCAACTGGATTTTGCCCAACTCTCCCATGGGACTCCCTGGAGACCCCCAGATGCTGGGGGGCAGCCTGGCACCCCCCTGCCAACCCCAACCTGGGCCAGAAGTGTTGCCAGACCGTGCCTCCAGCCATGACTTCTGCCTCTAGAAGACCTGGGGTGGACAAACAGGACTGTGCCCTGGGGAAGAACCTGTCTTCAAGCTGCTGAGAACTTCCCAGCTCCCACACACGAGTCATGATGTTGCTCTTGGTGTTGGCTCAGCTTGGGGGGGGGGTTGTCTTGTTTTGTTGGGTTTTTTTTTATTAATTATCTTTTTAATCACCTTCCAACCATCCTGCCCCTGCCAGGGCTCCCTGTGCTGGTCCCACAGAGGTGTCCTTGGCATGGAGAGGGCAAGACCAGGCCAACAAGGTTGGAGGGAAGGTGGCCCCAGGGCACAGGATGCCATGGAGGGGTTTTGATCTGGTGGGTCTTCCCCTTGTGGATTGAAGTGGTGTGGCTCTTGGTCAAGTGGAGACCCTTGGAGAACATCCATGGCTTGCCCTTTCTCATCCTACCCACCCAATCTCCTTGGTGGGGTGGGTGTCTACACATCCTACTGAGCATTGCTTGGACATTTTGGGGCTTTTTCTGGTCATTGCTGTCTTTTAACTGGCCCTTGGAGCTTAGCCACATGGTTGGGTTGTCCTCAGCAGTGTCTTGCACAAGGCAACCTATGGAATGGGCTGTTGGAAAGAGCAGAAACGTGGTGACCCTCTAAGAACCCTGACCCAGAGTCACCCTCTGAGGTGTGGTTTGGGTTCCACAGGACTTTTCTCTCCTTTCTCTTCCAATAAATGGTTTTTCCTCCCAGCCCTTGGTGTCTCCCTTTGCTGGTTGTGTCTCTTCCCCCTCTTGAGCACTTCAGGGCTTGGCTTGGTTCAAAGACCTTCTTCTGGGTGTCTCCTTGAGGAGAACCCCTCCAAGGCTCCCTCTCAGAGGAGCTTTCTCAGATTGGACCTGCTTTTCCTTCTTCCTGGAAGTAGAGCCAGGTCTTGGGGTGGAGAGTGGGACCTTGGGACATCCTTTGATGTCTAGCTGAGATTTTCAAGGCTGGTGAGCTTCCATGGCAGCTTGGTGTGAAGTTTGGCTTGGGCACTACCTCCTACTTCTTCAGGGAGATTCCAGCTGCTTCAGGGTGATGCTCAGCCCACAGAGAAGAAGGTTCCTCCTGGTTCCTCCTGGTTCCTCCTGGTTCCTCCTGGTTCCTGTTGTCCCATCTGGTGCTGGGTTCTGCCACGTGCAGGACGTGTAGCCTGGAAGAGCTGAAGGTGAAGCCATGGGTTGGATGCTGGGCATCCAGGAGCACAGCCCACCTCAGCAGCACTCCCAACTTTTGGGGTGCTGGGTGACCATGGAGCTTTACATCTCAGAAGGTGTGGAGAGATGGTACCCAAGGGTGTGGAAGGAACCAGCCAGTTCTCTGATCTGGGTGCTTGATGGTTTAAAAGGAGTGAGAAAAAGGCCAATATTTAGGAAGAATCAGGTGAGTCAACCAGAGACCAGCAGGTTGGGTGGGTTTATATGGACCAGGGCAAGTTCCTCCACGCCCCAAGCTCTGCCATCAACTCCTCTGGGTGCTCATGGGCAGCCAAAAAGGCAGGACTTGGAGGTGGACCCGAGAGAACTTCTCATTTGTCAAGTTCATGTTGGAAGAGCTCCTACAAAGACGTATTTAATGGTCCAGTTGGGAGTCCCACCAACACTGGTGAGATGCAGCCTCCTCGTGGAGGGAAACAGATGACCTATAAAGTCTCTCCTAACACGTGGGTGCTTCAGAACCTCTGGAATGGCCGATGGATTTGGAATCTGGAAGGTCCCCAACGCTGAGTTGAGTGCACACAACCTCCTGTGCCCACCCTCTTCACATGGGATGAGCTTCAGATGAGAGCCCTTGACCCAAAGAAATACATTTGGGTGTCTTTTTTGGGTAGGTCCAAAGACTTTCCAAGCCAGGCTGGGGGTAGGAAGAATGATGGAGGACATCAACCATCATCTTGGGAGGAAGGACCAGTTCACAACTGGGAGGTACTTTGCATGGTGGGATTGTTGTTATCATTTTTATATCATTCTTATCACCATTATTATTATTTTCTGGGCCTAGGGAAGCTGGATTGGGATGGGCTGAAATGTTTCATGATGTTCAAGTGTGTGATTGGACTCTCTGGTGGTGCCTGGGGACCACCAAGTGCATCAAGGACGTGTCACCACCTTGGATCCTGGCCTATCTGGAAGCCCAGATGGCCAGAGGGTGAAGTCAAGCTCTCCTGTGTCATTCTGGCTGGAGACCAAGGAGCCATCTGCTCACGATCCACGTGGTGAGACCTCCTCCCCTGCAGTGCTGGGAGCCCTCAGCAGAACCAGGGAGCTGCTGGAGCAGGGCCAGAAGACAGAGACCCTCCAGAAGTTGCCTGCAAAGCACCCACCCTGGGGCCACAGCGGTGGGGGGAGAGCAGGAGGAGGGCAGCAGGAGGGGAGGGGGCAGCTCAACTCTCTCTCTTTTCCCTCAGCAAGAACAAATTCCTTGCCTCAAAACCCAAAAAAAGCTTTGAAGAAACATGAAGAAGAAGCCAGAGGAGAATGTGGCCAGCTAGGAGAGGAACAAGCCAAGCATGACCCATGCTGGCTGTGCCTCTGTGGAGGTCATCTCATCGTTGTTTTAATCTCCAGCTAGGAAGCAGCTCTTCATCCCAGCTTTGGCAAGATCCTGCCAAGATTCCTCCTCCAAATCCTCTCCTGCTGGCTCCCAACGAGGCAGAAGCTGCCAAGCATCAATTGAGGTGAACAACCTTTGCTCTGCTCTGGGCTGCTGAGCGTGTGGTGGTGCCACGTTGCTCATCTCAGACCTCTTGGGAAGAGCTGTAGGACCTTGGTTTGGGGTTTTGTTTTGATTTAGGAGATGCAGCTTCAAAGACAAACCCAAAGCAGTTGGATCCTTTTGGAGGCTGAGGAGTTTGTTCCTCCCCAAACCATCCTGCACAGACAGGAGTGTTCTTCAGCAGTGGTTCTGTACCAGCACTAGGTCTGGAGTAAAGAAGCTCGTGGTGGGATTTCAGAGCTGTGGGTGGTGTCTCCTGGGTGTGCTGCTTGCTTCCTCAGAGCCTTTTTTTGGGGGGGGACATTCGACTTCATGGGTTTCCTCAGTGATGTTCTTCCAGGCTGATTCAAACAGCAACAGCTGCTGGTCCTCAGAATCTCACAAGGGTTCAGATTTTTGCCTAGTTTGGGCTGGTTTGAGCTTTTTTGAGGTGGGTTCTCAGAGCTAGGTCAAGAAACACTTCCTGCTTTTTGGTTTTCTTCATTTTCAGGATGAAAAAGCAAAACCCAGCTGGTTGGAGAGAAAAGGGAGGAGGGAAAGAACTTGTTTTAAGGCCAGCTTTGCCTCCCTAGCCGAGTGGTTGGAGCAAGGTAAGTCTCTGCAGCTCTTGAAATGCATTAAGTGTGTCTCCAGGGGCCATCGTGGAGACCCAGCACTGTGAAAAATGCAGATTTCAGGGCAAACCTGATGCACTGTGACAATTTAAAGTGCCCCCAGAGGGTGTTTGCTCAGGCAGAAGCACACTTTTCTCTGAAGCAGATGAGGAACCAGACAGGAGAACCATTTTATTTGCTGGTGATGGGCAGAGAGGATCAATTAAACCCAGCAGAGAGCCCAGAGCAAGTCAATTTGCAAAAGGGCAAAACACCAGAAGGAGGTGGCTACAATCCTGGCTGCCTTCCAGGGCCTCCTCCTCCTCCTCCTCCTCTCTGCTGAGGAAGGGTTGAGGAGCTGAGCTTTAGGATCCTCAAGGTTTGTGGCATCTCTGGGTCCCCATGGAGACTTTTCTGCCCCTCAGGAAGAGGCTCAGTCGTGTCGTGAGGCCACCAAGCAGCTGTCACCCTTCCAGAGACTTTGGGACATCCCCTTGGCTCTGCTCTTCCTCCTGGTTATCCTGGTCCTGGGGTCTGGGGGATGTTCCTCAGTGGGTTTGGGAGTCAGCTGCTGGGGTCCAGGACACCCCCCTCCCAGGTCTGCACTGCTCTGTGTCTGTGGTCAGCACATTTCTCAGCCATCTATTGAGTCTGTGCCCTCAAAACACCTCCTGAAAGAGCTTTGCCAAGGGGTGAAAGCTGAGTGAGCCCCAAAAACTCCTTCAGAAGTAAGAAGAGAGAAACCTCATAACCTCCTGGGGTTTCTTGGCTTTTCCCTCAAGCTTCCTAGGTGAGGCAGGATGGACCTGGGGGAAGAGCAGGATGAGATTCAGCCTCTGCCTGTTGATGGCAGAGCCAAAACTCCAGCAGAATAGGGAGGGGAGGCTGGGAATCCTCAGCAAATCCTCATCCTCACGAAACAGATGGTTTCTTCACCCAACATCAGCCTGGAAAATTCAGGCAGATGCAGCCAGAGCAGAGAGATTCTCCCCCTTTCCTCTTCTCCTGTGATCCTGCATCCAGATCTGGTCTCCCCACCATCAAAGGGACAGAGATTTGTTGGAAAGAGTCCACAGGAGGCCACAAAGCTGATCCTGGAGCATCTCTGCTCTGATTTCTTCCTCTGGCAGTGGAACCACCAGGTGCCCGTGGGGTACCCCTGCCTGTGGGTGAAGGAAATCTCTCCTGGTCCCTGAAATTGGGTCAAGGGTCTAAAAGAGCAGCACGAGAGTTTAATAACCAGCTGATTGCTTTTTTTTTTCCCCCCTTGATGAGCTTTCACCCCCAGGCAAAGCTCTTTCAGGATGCAAACCTGCCCCCTCCCTGGGACTGTGATCTCCAGGGTTGGATGCCAGGCACACACCTTGGCCTGAAAACCTCACCAGAGGCATCCCCCTTCCTCTGTGGGGTGATTAATTGATTCATTAGCACCCACCCCTGTGGGGCCATCTGCTTGGAATCTTCACCTTCTCCCTGATGTTGCTCTGGAAGAGGCCTCAGCTCTTTTGGCAGACTCATGAATAAAAGATGCTGCTCCCTGAAGCATCCCCTTCAAAAGCCTCCTAGGGGGAAACCACATCCAGATGGCTTTGCTGGGTCTTGAAGGTCACAGCCAGAAGGGACAACTCTCAGCATCACCAGCTTGAACCCTGGAGCCTGGTCCTGGTTGGGGGGGGTTGTGTGAAGCCCCCCTTGC